CTGGCCGGGCCCCGGTCTGGAAATGTGACCTCAGCCATACAGGTATTTCAGTGTAATATGACCATGTTTTTATGAAACATAAACATACCTTACTGTTTTTACCATTCATGCCTTTTAACTTCATCGGCATAACAATGTCTATTGATACCAGTCTTCTCTTGGCTTTGCTCCTCCATGACGACTACATATGTGCAGGCGGTAATGTTAAACCGTGTTACGGTTTATTGCAGAAGTATTCCTCGTGCAAGTCGTACAGGCTCCGCTGTCCCAAGCCAGGTCTACCAAGTCGTCGGACGACGTACTAGCCGACCTGCGACAGGCGGGAGTGATTCCCATTAAATGTCAGCGGACCTCCGTGGCCTTTGAGGTGGCGGATGTCGAGTCGAACAGCGCGCCGCCGCGCCGCCGGCCAGTCAGGCTGGAGAAGTTGGACAAACGTATGGAGGAGAGGCGGGAGATGGTGAAGAAGCGAATCGCCGACACCCCCACCGAACTGCGGACGCAGCTGAATGAAGCCGACCAGCGAAGACGGGTAAGTTTATTCTCAGATATCTGCAAATGTGTTGTGGAAAGAAAGAACGTACTAAATAGAAGAACGTGATAGCTAGATGGAAATATGGACAGACAAGAACAAAAGGAAAAGCTCGTAAGTTTAGAATATAGATGCATGTACTCATCTTCCCTTCAATTCCCCTAGGACATTATTGCCAAAAGATCCCGGAAATTGGCCAATCAGGCAGCTAGGAAGGAAACGAAGAAGTCTTCACGTGCCAAGTCCACCGCTTTCTTCATCAAGCCGACAATGAGCGAGTCGGATGTGATCACTACTCGGGACAGCAAGAAGAGGACGGCTATGGAGGCCCGCATGGAGAAGCGTCGGGCCCGAGTGGCGAAGAAGACCACAGTGGAGGCGCTGGAGGCACGTCAGGCTGATGCCGCACAGAGACGCCAGGTACATATTATCTGTTTATTATCTTCTGCTACCTTCGGAGAACATGACCCCTTAGATGTTTCAGACACACACAGAACTGTCATTACAGTGTGCTTCAGTAAAACGTAAACTGAATCATATACAGGATAAAAGATACAATTTTACATCAAAATCGCACTACTAAAGGGCTGTTGTCGGCCTTTGCGCCATGATTGTTTTCCTGTTTTTCCTGCAGGAGAAGGTGCGAGCCACCGTAGACAAGGCCAAGCGGTTCGGCCGCCCCGCCAGCCCCGTGTGGATGGAGCCAGCAGGCCGCCCCGCCAGCCCCGTGTGGATGGCGCCTGCAGG